ACTACTACTACTACTACTACTACGACTACGACTACTACTACGACTACGACTACTACTACTACTACTACTACTACTACTACTACTACTACTACTACTACTACTACTACTACTACTACTACTACTGCAGAGTACCACTAATACGGCCCCGATCGGGTCTTACGAAGCGCGCAATGGCCCGTAATGGGTTCAGGATCACCATAGCAGCGTCACACGAGAGGCCGAACATACATTGCGGCGTCTTCCGAAGGCGAGTTTTGACATCGCTTCAATGTTTTCTCAAGAAGGCACCCCGGGGGAGGACCCCGCAGGAGGACCCCGACTGTTCCCAAGTGCCCCTGGAGGGCGCCAGGACGCCAAGCTGATTCCACGATGCCTCGAGCACATACCCGTCCATCCTTCTCTCATCGTTTTCGTCTTCGTTTGCCCCTCATCCTCCTCGGTCTCGTCATCGTTTCCTTCCTCCTCCCACTCCTCCTCTTTCCCACCCTCCCCCTCCCCCCTTCCGTTTCGCTGGAGCACTTGGGCACGCAAGGGGGCAGTCGGGGCGGCCGCAAAGCCTCCCAGCAAAATTGGATTGATCAAAACGCACTGGGGCGTCCGAGGGTGACTGCAAAACGGTATACATTTACATTGCTGCGGCACTCTGTCATTCCAGCGGTCTCTTGGACCTACTCGTTGCGAGCTGGTCCCAGAAAGCAGAAAACTTAGTGTACCAAGTTGCTCTGTGGAGCCCGGACGCGACTTCACTCGCCGTGCCGTTCACAGATTCGCCCTCGAACGTGGCCAAGAACGCCGGGGACCCTTGCGCAGCAGCCCTGGGTATGCGTCGATGTTTTGTATTCCCCCAACATATGTTTTGGCCCGTGGGCCCAAATGCACTTCCCCCGAATACCTTCCGGGGAGCGCCGAACACAACAACCGAACCCATATATATATATATATATATATATATATATACAAGTGGCACGTGTGTGCCCAGGCTCATACAACAAGCTGAAGGGGCGTTTGAAGCAGGAGTGACATGCAACAGCGAAGTCGCACTCGAGCGCAAGTGGGGTTGCCACACCTTGCGATGTGTTTACCAGGGCCCCCCAGGAAGCCTCAGGAGGCCCGACTTGGATACCAGGAGAGGCTCCAGGAGGCCCCAGGATTGTGAGTGTTGTGTGTGTGTGTGATGTGTGCTTTGTGTGGTGCGTGCTTTTTGCGTGTTGTCGGTGTTGTGTGTGTATGTTATGTTGTCTAGCGTGTGATGTGTTGGGCGTGATTTGTGTCTCTGTGTGTGCATGTAGTTCTGAAGCCCCAGGAGGCCCCAGGAGGCCCCAGGAGGCCCCAGGCGGCCTCAGCAGGCCCAGGAGAACTCCAGGAGGCTCCGAGGCGGGGTCTGGGGTACCAGAAGGTCCAGAAAGCCCCAGGAGGCCCCAGGAGGTTCCAGGAGGCCCCCAGGAGGCTCCGAGGAGAGGTCTGGGGCTCGATTTTGGGAGGATGTCCCAGGCGAAACCGCCATTCTCTGAGAATCGGAGTCAAAATCATTGAAATTACCATGTGTTTTTGAAGGTTCTATGATAAAATGTTGGAAATCCTATGTGTTTTTGGACCCTGACGTCACGATTTGCGTGAGGGGTGCCACCGATTTTCAGAATTTCGAGGATGTCCCGAGCGAAACGGCCAGAAAAAAACGCGAACGACGGACGCACCAACCGCCTCTGAGCTCTACTCCCTCGGAGAGGTGCGTATGATAATATATATATATATATACATATATATATATATATGTATGTGTATGCCTGTGTCTTATGTATACGATCTGTGAGCCATGTGCATCGACATGTGGCACTTAGGGATCGGGTTCACGCCACCTCGTGTAGATGTAGTCAAGTAGCGCTTGAGGGAGCCGCAAAGCTCCTGCAGTTGAGGCGGCGCCAGGTTCCTCGATGATCGACCTGACAGCACACTTCTGAAACGTATGAGGCTATCTGTGGCTTGGCGCAAGGGGGCTGCATCCTCAGGCAATCCACCTGCCCTGTATCGGGCGCGCATGCGTCTCAGGAACCGTGACCTTCCCGCACTTTGGCTATCTCGATGACCGTTCTAGCTAGCGTAGGCCCTGGCAGTCAATTGTGCAGACGCGTTTTGTTTGACCGTTTCTGGGTGTTACTGGGTGTTTTTGTTTGACCGCGTTGGTTTTTGTTTGTTTTGTCAATGTTTGTTTGAAGTGTGACCGTTTCTGGGTGTTGCTCTAGCGCGGGAGTAGCACGCAGAAACAGTCACGTTTGAAACGGCAAACACTAGAGAGTTTTTTTGGCGCAGGCGGAACTGCGTCTGCATTGGAAGGTATATTTGCGAAGAAGCATGTCACAAAAGAAAACCAAAGGTTTAGTCTCTGCACCCTTGGTCCTCACGTTCTGCGAATCTCGGTTCCCGAGCGTTTTCGCCGTGAGATCACTCAACCTCGAAAAGCGTCTGGTGGGGTCTGTTGCCTGGTATTCGCCATGCCAGTTCATCAGCTCGTTGCGAAGATGAAGCACGCCATTAGCTACAAGCTCATCCTGCCCCCCCCCCCCCCGCTGCAGCTGCTACCCGAAACGAATCGCTCAACAATAAACACCGCCACGCCCTTGCCACCAGCTTTTGGAACAGACTGATATTGAGAGAATGTGGGACATCCACTGCCAGCGAATCGACCGTTACACCAAGACCTTCATCGAATATTGGATTGCGGTGGTGTACCCAGGGCTCTCCACCAGGACGGCCTTCGGATCTCCAGAACAACGCTGTGCATGGGAATCTACATGTAGCCTCGTATTTCCCAATGTCTGGAAGGAACGCACATGGCTCTAACCTGCCCCCCTGCCTGAGCCCGAGATCGGGGACGTCGGACACGAGACACCTCCCACGACCGCCTTTGTCCCGTTTGTCGCGCGCAAGCAACGGCAAGATAGCGCCGTGCTCAGCTTTGGAAAGCGTTCGGATGTTCTCGCACCGTCGGCATTCCTCCAAATAGCCAGCGTGCGCCTTCAGCTTGAAAGGGAAACTTACTGGTGAGAGGCCTGCGCACTTGTACAACGAGCCCTGGTCGGCGTAGGCATAACATGCACGGACTTTCCCACTTGCTCATACTGCCCACACCCCAAAAAAAAAAAAAAAAAAAAAAAAAAAACGTTCCAGCGAATTCAGACCAGCCCCCTGCGATGGCAACACCTGCGCACTTAAAGATTTCATCGCCAACACGTCGAGATCGATCTGAATCCGAATCAAACCACATCTTTCCGTCATGCCGTGACGATGGCATTCGACCATTTGCTGAGGCCTGCAAGCTCCATTTCAAGTATGCCAGCACACCATGCACGCTGCAGCATTTCCTGCATCCGCAAATGCACATGCTCGATGTTTCAACATCGATGTCAGCATCCGCTTCCCAGATATAAGATCGCGCACCCAAAATCCAAATATTCCATCTTGCTGAAGGGGACCCCGTCAACGTAAAGACAGATTGGCATGACCGTACCAGGCCCTGACATCCTAACCATGGGATGGCTGCAATAATTTGCAGGCCATTCGCCATTCAACACAGAGTCGTTTACTCGCTGCTGCTGGTTCGGATTTGCAGAGATGCGCCTATGAAGGGCCTCGTGTGCTGGCACTGCTGGGATAGAACGCGTTTCCCGAGAAGCAGAATAGTTGTCGTAACCTGGCAGGCGCAGCCAATAGTAGTAGCTTTTTTTTGGGGGGAAATCGTCATTTTTTAGATATCTGTCCACTGTTAGTGGGTCTTTTCCGCTTTGCTTGTCTGCTGGCATTGCGAATTAATTGCGAGGTCCTTTAACCCCTGCCCGAGCGGCAAGGCGTGCCAACACGCATATTTGTTTAGACGAAAGTGTCCCTCTCAATCTCAAGTCTACCAGCATGTCTGCGGGCGCTTCACCTGCAGTTTCAAGCTTGCTCTCGTCATTGGCCTCACTGTCGCCGTCGGGCATAAAAGCGTAGTCGTCGTCCTCCCATGCATGGCCTGCGCAGTGTTCCCAAGGGTGCAAGTTGCCCATTGCTCGACTTGGCTGCCAAAGGCTGCGCGAGGGAGAATGGGCGAAGGCAACTTGCAGGAGTTCCAAACGTCCAAGCCCCAAGCCCCCTACGCGAACACAATAGACAAACGTCGAAACCAGACGCTATGCACGAGTGAGCCCTTCTCCCCTGGACGTATTATCTGCGAGCTTTCTATACATGGCATGCCTACGCCCCTGATCATTACCATGGCAATGTGCTCATATCTCTCCGTATACGCCCGCATGCAAACGCACAGCGTCAGCGATGCTTGAACAGAAACAAGGCGCACATGCCAACGCGCTCGACTCCAAAACCACGGCCCAGAAATACCACCATGAATCATATAGTGTTTGTGACTGTGTTGGTCGTTAGTGTTTGTTGAGGTTGGTGTGGTTGTTGTTGTTGTTGATGATGGTGTTGTTATTGTTGTTGCTCTTGTTGTTGTCTTCTCGGTTTCACTGCGTGCGCTTGCTATGCTGTCGCCCCGCATTCCTAAGCCTGTGCGGACCACTTGGCAAAGGGAGGGGGGGCTACGAAACTCAAACAACATGCAACGCCTCAGGGGTTCTATATCAGCAGGCACGCTTGACCCAATGGATCGAATATACATAGCGACCGTCGAGGGCGGGCGGCACCCATGCCCCGCGCAGGGCTCTAGGGTCATAGGCGACCTGTACACCGCCACAAATCGGCAGAGCCTTCGTGCCAGAAACGAAAAAAAAGCCAGATTTTTGTCAGGGTCTTAGAGCGTTGGGTGAACATGCCTACTGCGAGCGTCACTGCCATGGGGCCCTTCACAAGTGGGCACAGCGCGCACGAGGCGCGCCCGTCGAACTTGCGCGCGTTGCACTGATAACTGCAAGAGGCGAGGCGGCTAATGTGCAAACTGCTGCACACGCCCTCGGGTGGCGGGCGCGGGCTGCCCAAGCGCTCGATGGCTCCGTGGTAGTTTTTCGTCGCGACCATGTTCGCTGCGCGAAGGTCACCGCGAGGTGGAGGATAATGCGCTGGGCACTTTGGGAGCACAGGATAAGGGACAACGGTGTCCATGACATACTGGTTCCAGAAGATGTTCGATGTAACTGACATAATCTCGGCCCCAGCCTCATGTTCACCGTTCGCGTGTTTTGGCCCATAGATGTGCGTGATACCTTTCGCGTCGGGCTTGTCAGTCGCACTTTTGATGGCTGATGATCTCTCGAATGTTTCAATAATCGCGGACTCCACATCTGCCGAAATCCCCTCGACCTTCAGCTGGATGACTTTCCCGTCCTCTTCCCACGGGCCGTCTGGTATCCAATTTTGGTAAAAAGGCGCTGGCACTTGCGCCTGTGCCCTTGAATCGTGTTGGAAGGCACCATATCCTCACGCATTGCGCAGTACTTGCGACGAACCCCGAGATCCATTGCAGCGGCACGCTACAGGCAAGTGCGGTGACTAAAAACAGCTCCTTTTGAGGCTGCACCGGCGTCGGAGGCACGCGGGATGACGAAGATCGGAAAGCAACGAGCTTGGCAGTGTTTCTGACTTCGATGTCGGAAACACTGCCCGCCTCGATCCCAGGTTTCAGGTTCCCAACGGTCCTTTCGGATCCGACCGGGGACGATGGAAACTTGAAACCCAAGAAATTAGAAACGAAATCCAAGATATCCTTGAAAGCTGAGCCGAATCCACAGGAATCCCAGGCACCAGAGCCGAGATCCAAGAAATTCAATCACAAATCATGGAATCTGTGCGTCATCAAATCATTTGTTCATCGAATCCCTCATCAAATCTGGGGTGTTTCTTTATACTGTTATGGACCATGTTCAAGAATCATCAAATTGCTCATCAATTCGCTCATTAATTTTATCACGGGTTGAATCGCCCCCAGATGCCCAAATCGCCACGTTGCCGGCATCAGACGGCCCCCCGCCGGCCTCAGACTGCACCCCAGCTCCAGAACCAGACATTTTTTTTTTTTTTTTTTCATTGCGTAAGGCAACGTGTGTTCTGCTACGTCTTTCTCGCACTGAAATCTTAGCAGTCGAACGTGAAATCTGGCATTGCCTATAGACCAGGGACCCTGTGCAGCCCACATCGAAGCCTGGCCAATATCGTACTGCTGTGAATTCGAAATACTGCATGCAAGACGTGATGGCGTACATGAACTGTCATACCTACGACGCCGCAGCCGCGTGCATGCTCTGCAACTTGCCGTTCAGGATCTCGATATGCTTCAAGGCTGTCTCCAGCTCAAAAACTTGCTGGCCTCCGTCACGATCTGGGCCGTATTCGGGTGCTTCTTTACCACATCGGCCTGGCTCAAAGTCAACACGTGAACAGCGAAGGCACCGTCGACGGCTTCGCCGATGGCTGTCATGCGGCCCGTGAGATCGGCGATTATAGGATTACTCAGGCACCACTTCTGCCACTCAGGATTGGAGGAGGCCAGCTTCAGGATGGTTGTAGCTGTAGTCGTCGCTGCTTGAAGATAGGTCTTCAGCTTGAAGACGCTGGTCATCAGCTGCTTGGGCGTCTTCTCCGTCGTTGGCTCCACCTTGACCTTCTTGATTGGTCGCTCTGCGTCATCGGCACCGCCCTCGCCGCCCTTGCCCTTCCGCTTGGCATCGGCGCTCGTGATCGCGCCTGATTTGGCACCCTCAGTGGTGTTCTTGCTCTTCTGGAGGTCCTGGTACTTCGTCCACTTGCGCCTGCCAACGAATGGCAACCCAACGACGATCCAGCTAGCTAAAGCATACCGAGGACCCTTACCAGCCTGGAACAGATCCCTATCCCTATGCTGGACACCTCCTCATCACGATGACAATCTCAGGGATTCCCAAATTTTTTGAGGGCGAATCCCTAAGATTGTCATCGCCTTTTGGCGTGTCAATCTTAGGGATAGGGATGCGTTCGAGGCTGGTAAGATCAGTCGGGGAGTGATCTATGATGAGCGGGGGGGGCTTAAGCCCCCCCCCCCCCCCCCCCCCCC